GTGTGTGTGTGTGTGTGCTGACAGGTACATGCATAATGTGTGTATGTATGTGTGTGTGTCTGTGTGTGTGTGTGTGTGTGTGTGTGTGTGTGTGTGTGTGTGTGTGTGTGTGTGTGTGTGTATGTGCACATGTATATTTAGGTGTAGTTAAGTATTTGATTGTATGTCTACAGGTGTGATGGTGACTGCCATGGTGTTTGGCTCCCCTGTGGCATTGTTTCTCGGAGCTGCCATGAACAAAAAGCCCGTGGATCTTGGCGGTAAGTCTGAGCTCCTTTTCCCAGTTTTACGGACCTTTCAACACGATAATGTAGACTTACAATATGAACTCTTTAAGAACGTAGCGGGCACGATATAATGTGACCGACCAGCGACAAATCAGGGGCAAATTCACGACCCATTTGGGACCGTCAAACACAAATCAGAAATAGACATTTGCATATTTCATAGTACGTGTGTTATAAGATAAGATAGGATAAGATCAGAAAAGATCAGATCAGATCAGACAAGACAAGATAAGAGATACGATATTATAAGATAAGATATGATATGATTAGATAAGATCTGATCTGATAAGATAAGATAGATCTTCGTAGTATGCATGTTATTTGCCTGCCTTTGAGAGTTTAACGTAAAGAAAACTACAGTTTAGTTTAAAAGTAAACTCTATATATTTCTTATTTGAAGTGTTCCAAAACAATATGTCTTCAAGCGTTGACAACTTGCTACCTCAGAATTACAAAGTTCTATCTGCTCAGTACCTAGTTTTGAGAAATTTGACGTCAAAGATTTTGAGTTTCGCAACAGGTCAAGGGTTTTTTAATGCAATTCTTTGAATATCTTGATAATGACTCCGAATAATCTTACGATTTTGATAGAGCAGAGAGAACATTTTGGCTTCTGACCGCATGGTCTTAGTAACTCAAGACAGCCAATAATGTCAGACAGAACCTTTTCAATTCTGAGGTAGCGAACTGCAGATAAAATAAGCGTCCTCGATTTATTTTTGGAAGAAACATCAGGTGTGACGTCATCTTGTACATTTTGGGCAACATTTCCTCAACCCTTTCACTGCCAGACACAAGACTTTAATAATGAAGCAGATTTCAATTAAGGGGAAAAGTGTCTTCCTACAGTCTCATAAATCTCAGTTTACAGCCAATGCATAAAAGTTCATTGTTTTATGGAGTTTTTCTTAAATTTGAAAATCTTGGTAACGTTGATTTTTTTTCAAGCTCAAACAGACAGCCTAATTACCACCAACATTCTCTCTCCGACAACCTAAGAGACAAAGAGCTGATCAAGCTGAGAAGATCGTATTGTCTGCAAAAACACTGCCCTGCCCTCAACAGTCTCAGGCTCTTATTTAATGTTTTCCTTTCGCCACTCGACCTTGGTGGACTCTACTAAGTAAATGTATATCGATTGCTTACCTTAAGTGACTACGTTAAAGATATCTTAACATGCAGAAATAATTGATCAAAACAAAACAAACAAAAACAACAAAATAATTAACATGGCCCCTGAAAGAGGAACAAGGGACACAAAAAGAGAGAATAATACATGTTCCTATCCAACAACGACATCAATAATAAGAACAACAGCAACAGCAGCAGCATCAACAAGAACAACAACAACAACAACAACAACAACAACAACAACAACAACAACAACAACAACAAGAATAACAACAACACCACCACCAACAACAACAACAACAGCGACAACAATAACAAACACATTTTTAAAAAACAGAAAAAACAGCAACAACATCAGCAAACACTGATCAAACAAAACTACGGTAAGAAAAACAGCGAAACCATTGTCCCTTCTCTCCAGACACCGACATGCCAAATGACGACCAGAACTGGATCAGCGCCTGGTGGCTGGGCTATGTGGTGATAGGTCTGTGTTCCATCGCCTCCTCCATCCCTGTTTTCTTCCTCCCGAGACACGTCATTCACAAGCCAGAGAAGAAACCGACAGACGCCAACGGGGATGTACCAGGAAATTTTGGTGCGTACTTTTAAATCTCATTGCACAATTTTTATACCCACATTTTAATTATTTCGCCGTATGAATTTTGTCACCCTCATTTCAATGTCATTGCACAATTTTTACACCCACATTTCAATTTGGGAAGGATGCTGACAAAATGAGTTACTTTTGGGATTCGAGACCTATGGAAATAGATACGTCGCGCTTATTATAGGTGAAGTTTTTACTGTTTATGAGTAAGAAACAATAAAAGGCTTGTTGTGGCATCAATAGAAAATCTACAAATTTGACCTTAGTGTCTATTTTTTGCCAATATTTCCCTTTTTTTGGATTGGAAGAAGCGACTCGTTTTGTCAGCACACCTCGCATTTCAGGGTACGATTTTTCCACCCTCATTTCAATCTCGTCACACAGCTTTTACACCCTCATGGGCACAAGTTACGTCATTTGGGAGGCCAGGAGGGTGAATAGTGGGTGCTCTGATGTGGTTTGCGCCTTCTTTCCTGTCAAGCATTATCGTCCTATTCTCTCATTCTTCTTTTCTCTAAATGTTAGTCTATAGCGCTTAATATTCAGCACGCACATGCCTTAATTGTTTTGCAAATGTCGTGAAACTATTACTAAAACTAAACTGTAAGCTGCTTCCACACTGCCTGTCAGGGCCAACCCGGGCTGTGTGGCACAGCGTCCCATCAGACAAATTTGACACTCGATAATAACTTATTCACCCTGGAATCGAACTCTTCGTTGAGAGGTAGTCAATGATCTGTTTGGTCTCTTAATCGGTTAGTTGGTTGGTTGGTAGGTTGGTTCGTTGGCTGGAAGGTTGGGTGGGTGGTTGTTTGGTTGGTTGGTTGATCAACAGAACATACTTTCTCTCTCATGACTCGCCTTAAATAATATTTGTTCGAATAGCACGAAAAGGCTTATACATGCCCTATGCGTTTTACTCCCCGCTACATTAGATCACAATTACTTAGTGTCATCCGGAGTGTCCGCACTAGCTAGTGACGTAGAGCGCACTTGGGGGGATCCCAGTGTGTCCCCCCTTGTCTTTGCCACTGTGCAACCTGTTTCTATTTTTGGTTTTGGTTTAATTCAAGTAAAATTATCCATATTTGAGGCGGCACTGACAAGTATGTACATGTGGCCCGAATAGGCATATTGTTCATTTTTTCCCCTTTTATCATAAATAAAATGTTGTCAAGTAGGACACACCGGAATGACTGAAGTTTGTTTTGACTATATTGGGTACTCATTTCTGGTTATGTTTCCAATCTATGGCAGGTTCTGCCGAGTCCGAGCTGGACTCCCCATGCTACAGACGGTGCGCTGATGACGTGACCCCGCTGTGCGCTGACGGGAAGGCAAAGAAGAGAGCCAAGTACGTGGCTCCACCACCCCCACCGTCTGCTGTTGTGGAGACACCTGGTGGTGGTGGTGACCTGGGCGGTGGTGTTGGTGGTGGGACTGAGGTGTCGCTGCTGGAGAAGGTCAAAGGTGAGGGACACCCCCCCCCCCCCAGGGCTGTGCTACTGTCTAAATTTGTCTTTAGGCCATTCCCAAAGGCGCAAAGGAGGAATACTAACATGTTCTTATGCACAGTAGAATTGTAAATGGACTGATTATTATCAATGTCATGCTCATACTGTGCCGTAACAAAAAAAGGGAGAACTGTTGCTTTTTTTCCCTCATCCTTACTATCGTCATTTTGCCTCTACTTCTTTTGCGTGTTTGTCACACCTCTTGTGAACTGCTATTTCCGGGGAGCCTTGATAGTCGTAGCAGATTTTTGGCTGCTGGGGTTAGAGAAGTGAGCAGAGTAAGTCTGATTCCCTGTAAGGACTTCTCTGTTAACATCCACCCCTTGGCGCTCATATGACCTTATGCAGTTGCGAGCACCGTAAAATCTTACTAAAACAAACAAAAGATGATGGAGTCGATGGTCACTGGTCACCCTATACACCCCCCCCCCCTGACCTGGTGAAATGGTATGGGGTTAACGGCCCTATCATCACTGTCAGATTATTTAAGAGGTGGGACCTCCGAGTTTAACGTCCATCTCAGAGAGGACCGAGCCAAGTGGGAAGTTCGTGTTAAGTGCTTTTCCCAAGGACACAACGTCAGAGTGAGCTGAGGCTCGAACCCCCGAACCCGCAATCTCACGATTACGAATCCGGTAGCCTAACCAGTAGGTTACTGACGCCTCGGACTGTATACTGTGTGGGATATCTAGTGCTACGTGGTGTGTGGTGATGATGATGATGATGATGATGATGATGATGATGATGTTTGAAATATCTTAAACTTTGTCCCTGGTATTGTACATCGCAGTTGGTGGTGGTGGTGGCGATGGTGGTGGTGGTGTTGATGATGATGATGATGATGATGATGATAATGATGATTGATGATGATGATGATGATGATGATGATGATGATGATGATGATGATGATGATGATGATGATGATGATGATGATGATGATGATGATGATGATGG